GGGGTGTGAACTTCCTCAGGGAAGAACTGGCCTGCTTGGTCAGAGTTCTTTGGGTCTTTGCAAGATGAACATGTGTGTTAAAACTGTGGAGACCTCAATCCTGACATTTGTGTATGTATGTGAAAAGTATTTTACACACACACACACACACACACACACACACACACACACACACACACACACACACGAGAATCCTGCAATCCTCTGCAAGTGAATTAACAAGCATGTCAAGGAAGGTCAGATGTTTGAAGGAGAAAAGCCACAAATAATATTGCTTTCAGGGTAGATGCCATCTCATCCTGTAACTAAACATTAAGAAGCCATTTCTTTTTGAAGCTGACTCACTGAACAAGTAATTTGAGATGCAGCTTGATGTTGGAGATTTTAATTTAAAATGACTGTCACTGGCCCACTAGACTGGTAAATTATGTAAACAAAAAAGCTTTGTTTATAGTCTACTACTCCTCCAGTCAGAATAAATATAAAATCTAATACTCCTAACTGATGTTGTTGGAATGTTAAGCAAAGGGTGCCTCCAGCTCGGGGTGAGCCTCCAGCTCGGTATGAGCCTCCAGCTCGGGGTGCTCACAGATGGGCTTAGAAGCAGCTTCTCCAGAGGAGGAACTTAGAAGTGTTCTTTTAAAAGAAGGCAGAGGTGTGGTGGGGCTGAGGTGGGACAAGGTTGGGTGTGAGATCCACAGCTCTCCAGGACAGGCCTGGAGCTTCCCAGTCTCTGTAAGATGCCCCTTGTACAGTTTTTCATTTACACAGTAATTTAATGCTGTTGTACAGGGTTATTGCAGTTGTAATTAAGACCCCCAATTAAATGACCTTAAAATATAGAGAAGGTCACAGGCCCTTCAAATCTGGTCTAGAGTTGAGGGTCAGGGTCAGGTCAGTGAGATTTGAAGCTTGCAAAGGACTGGACACACAGGAATGCATCCCTTACTGGCTTTGGTGATGGAGAGGACCACATGGCAAGGCTGAGAGATCTTTGTGCTGCCAGACTTTGGAGACAGTGGAGCCCAGGTGTAACACTTCCCAGGGATCCTGTGCTGGAGGAAGGGAAAGACTGAAGCCCAATGCCAGCCAGAGGAGAGACTTGAACTTGCCTCCAGCAAGAGATGGCACACGGTTTTGCAACTTGCCAGACCACCTTGCAGAGAGACAGAGCCCAGACAGTGACGGTGGGCGGGACCACACCCTGCCCAGGACTGCGGAGCTCTGCACACTGCTTCCATCTGTTTAAACCCAGGCCTGTGTCAGACCCTGGAGATGGACTTGGGGGTCCCTGGGCCCCTTTATTTGTTCCTCTTTCCAAGGTGGCCACATTGAATAAATCCCCCTTTCTGCCTTTCACTGTTGTCTCTTTGATTGGCATAGAGGGGGATGGGGGCTGAACCTAGCTTATTGGAACTGTTTGGGCCCAGGCTCTGACTCTAAATTAAACTTACAGGGGTCTTTAGCTGGTAACCAGCAAGCACATGGGGACCTGAGTCCTCCTGCAGCAAGTTGACCTCTGCCAACAGAGAGAGTTAGAAATGGGTCTCCCCTGCACCCAGCCTCTAGACCAGAGAACCTTGATTCTGGCTTCATGATCCAGAGAGCAGGGAGCCCATGGCTCGGCATCCTTAAGCTCTTAGTTGGTGACAAGCTGTTATGTGATCATCGTTCCTCACAGGTCACTCGTCTCTCTGGTTCTGTGAACACAGACAGTTCCCACCTGGGCCCACTGTAACAAGACTGTCACTCCACCAGCACGGGGTCTGCTCTGGCTCCCCCCACTCAGCCTGTGATGATTTAGTCTAATATCCATCTCTTTTCTTGGGATGCCTTTCACCCAGGCTCACTGCTTGGACATTGGCTCTCGGTTCCCAGCTGCCATGCTATGCCTAGGCCCTCTAGAGGGGTGATGGTAGATGCCACAGCAAATGGAATTAAGCAAGATTTTTTAACTAGGTGCAAGACTTGTGAGTGGGGTTCCTTCCCACACCCTCAGCTCTTCTAGGTGCCTGTCCTCTGTCTTCCCAGCTGTGGCCTCAATCACTGGGACTAAAGGCAAGGCTTCCTTTGTGCCCTTGGTCCAGATTTCTGGCCCACAGAGCCTATGGACTTTGGAAAATGATTGTTTTATGCAACCACATTTGAAGTAGTTAAATGTTTCCCTAAAATACCATAACAGTGACATGGTTATAAAGAAATCCTGAAAAATACATGAACAGAAGCAGAAATTGCAGATTATCAGTCCCGTGCCACCTCGGGGATCAAAGCAATCACTACCCTGTCCTGATTCAAGGGAAGAGGACTGGCCAGGTGACAGTGCAGGTGTCTGAGATAGAGACTTGGATGGGCGAGGCCCTTGGGGAAGACATGTCCCTGCTGGATGGAGCTGGGTCATGGCGCCAGGCCTTTGCTCCGTGCATCCTGCGTCTCTTCTCATCCTGACATAGTGCCCGGCAGAAGCGACCTAAGGGTGGAATGATTAATTTTAGAAACTTTGTCATTATGAAGGTTTTCTTTTTGTGTGGTAATTGGCATGGATGTAATGTATCTTGATCACGTCCACCCCAGCTCCCCCTCCTGTTCTTGGATCCCCCCCCCAAACCCTCCCCCTCCCCTTCCATCCTCTCCTTGTTTTGTATAACACATGAGTCCAATTGTGCTGCCTGCCTGGCCCCTTCTCGAGCCACAAGCAGCCCAGCCATGTGTGTTTGGCCAGGTTTACAGTACCAGGCAAGAATTTCCTCGAGTGAAATTGGCTTCACATCCAACCAGAGGTGATTGGTTAGCCTGGGCCGCTCTCTACATCTCTGAGTTTGACTTGTTAGATTCCATATATAAGTGAGACCTTGTAGTGCGTTTTTTTTTCTTTATTGAATATGGCATCTTTCTCTTTAGCACAGGCTGGAATTCTTGGTCTTCCTGCTTCAGCCTCCCCAGAGCTGGGATTTTGTGTGTGTGCCATGTCCAGCCTCCTGCAGTGTGTTTCTGTGCCTGTTTAATTTGAAATCACAACCAGTGGACCATCATCACTGATGGCCCTTCTGTCCTTTCCTTTGCTGACTGGCATTCTGCCCACATGCCTAGACCACACCTCTGTGCTCCTGTTTTCTGAAGGGCACTCAGGCTGTTGCTGTGCCTCAGGGTCACAGATGCTCCATGAGGAGTGATGATCATACTCACTTTTGCAAACACAAAGGTTGCCTTTGTCCATTTCAGCATGGAAAGTCCATGTCTCTTGTGCACTTAACATGTATCTGTGGCCCAATTGGAGAATAAAGTTTTATTGGTACACAGCCTATTTCAGCATCAGTCACAGCTGCTTTCACATCACACTCTCTGTAATGCCTTCTTGTTAGTTTCACAGACACTTCTTGTATCTGTGTATTATCACAGGCAGACCAGCTCCTGGGAGGCCAGATGTTGTTCAAATCTTAGATGGTCTTATTAATAGAAAACCCAGAGCCAGATATCAGGGTAAAAGCTGAAAGATCAGAGAAACAGAGCAGCCAGCCACTAGTTCTTACCTCTAAGAAATTCACAGTCTAAAGAGAGTGAGTTCCTGTTTCCTCACACCTTATATACCTTTCTCTGCTCTGCCATATTACTTCCTGGGATTAAAGGTGTGTGTGCTTCCCAAGCAAAGGCAGGAAACCTCAAGTGCTGGGATTAAAGGTGTGTGCCACCACTGCCTGACCTCTATGTCTAATCTAGTGACTGGCTCTGTCCTCTGATCCTCAGGCAAGTTTATTAGGGTACACAATATATCACCACAGCCAGATGTTACAGCCCTGTTTCTATCTGCCAGTCATTGTGATACAGACAAAATGGTATATTTCTAAAAAGAGGCGATATGCTTGTCTTATCTCACAGAATTGATTCTAACAAGATACTTAAAAAGAACATGTTTTGAGATTTATTTTTAATATCTTAAAAAATAGTGTGTGCGCGTGTGTGTGGATGCCTGTAGAGGCCATTTGATACCTTGAAGTTAGAATTAAAGGTCATTGTGAGCTGCCCAGTGTGGATGCTGGGAACTGAACTTTTGTCCTCTGCAAGAGCAGTATGTGCTCTTAAGCACTGAGCCATCTCTCCAGCAGCTGAATATGATCTAGAGCTATAGCTTGTGGCCCCAGAGCAGCCCATTTGGAGAATAAAGTTTTATTGGTATGCAGCCTGTCTATTTCAGCATCACTCACAGTTGCTCTCATGTTACTTTGACTGGGCTATGGTTGCTATAGAGACTGAGAGGCTACAGTGTCCAGTTTTACTGTCTGGCCTGTCACTGGGGATCACATGCTCTGCCTTGGACCAAAGGGATGTTTAGAAGTGGAAATACTTTTTGGTTTTTCTTAAAACTACCTTTTGTAGCACTTGGGTGAAGTTTCCACTGCTGAGCTGTGTCCACAGCCCCAATTTATCAAGCTTAATAAACACTGACTGACTTGGATGATTCTGGTTTCATCCGGCGACTTTCTCTGAAATCTCATGAAATAATTATTCTGTTATAACTGATGATAATTTATAACCAGATTTGATGAGAGAATGTGCCTAGAGTAGATTGGATGATTGGTGTCCAATTTTTTAAAAATTAAAGACCATTAAAATTCATTGTGCATTAATTTATTTATGCTGAGAAGACAGCTAACGAGGCAGACATAAAACATGACAGCGTCACACGCCAGTGGCTCTGTGTGCACTGTGGACCGTTACATTATTTCACCTGCATTACCTTGGTTGGTTGTCGTTATAATAATTGTGTATTTTAATTAATTTTCACATTAAAATATCAGTAAGGCTGAGCTGATCGTCGTGAAGGTGCCTCGTGTTTGTGTGTAATTGCTGGAGTTCTGTGTGTTAACGTCATCGTTTATTTAGTCTGTATCTGCATCAGAGTTTGAACAGTTAGGCATTGGGGCTTCATTCCACCCTATTAGGGTAGCAGTGTAAATGCATATTATCTCACATGTCCTCACCTCCTTTTTTTCCTTCTCTAACAGGCTTGTGGAAGAAAGCAAACTGGTCCCGCTCATTTTTGAAGTGATTCTGGTAAGAATGCAAGTATGTCTTCTGGAATTCAAGTGAACATTTCAAGTTTGAAAGTTTTGGGGTGAATTGTATGGTTGTCTCTCTCACCCAGACTCTGTCCCCACAGACTGTATGTCCTTTGTCTTATTCCTAACCTCATGAGACCTCTGCTCTCAGACCCGCACAGACTCACACTCTGGAAGTGAGAACAGCCAGAGTCTCTAGATTTGTCCTTCGAAAGCAGTTTGCATTTTTATTTCTGGTGAATTAAGCAATGTGTGGTTTTTATTCTTCCCTCCCTCTCTCCCTCCCTCGGCTCATTCTGTAGCCTGTGTGGCTCTGCTCTTGTGATTCCCCCTGCCTCAGCCTCCTGAGTGCTGGGTTATAGGCATGTTTCATGCTGCCCAGCTAATAGCTGCTTTCTAGCATAGAACACAGCCTGGTCTGAGGTTGGCTTGTGGAGGGAGACACAACACATGCTGCACTTGTGTGTAATCCTTCAGCATGAATGTCACTGGGCTCCACCATCATACGGTTGTCTTCCTCAAAGCTCAGAATAGCTTAGCTTCCTTTCCCCAACAAAGGACGTGTGCCTCAAAAGACCACCACCCATCAGCTCAAATCTTTTCTCTGTGGTTCCTGTGTGAGGAGAATGAAATGGAACCCAATGTTGTCTTTCTTTGCCCATGAAGAACCCCTGCTCAGACCCTGCTGATCTGAGAACTGGGCTGGGAAGCATACAGGAACGTTGACAGCCAAGGAAAGTGTCCCTTTTTACCAGTACCCTACCCTGCACAGTCAGTGACGGCAGAAGACATGGTAAGGGAGTGAGCTTCCCTCATTCATTTAGTTATGCCTGCAAACCGTGTGCCTATGCGGAAGAAGCAGAGGCAAGCCCAACGACCCCCCTTTCTGAGCCTCAGACCCACGGTCTGGTCAGGGGACTGGTGTTTTCTTGATGGTGTCTGTGGTGCTCAAGCAAAATACCACACACCAGGTTGTGTTTGAAGAATTGATGGGCACTTCCCAGGTTTCTGAAGGCCTGTGGAGGGCCTTGCTGTGACCTCACAGGGCAGAGGGTGGGAAGGCAAGGAGCAGGCTTTGTGGCGCCCCTCAGTGGGAGGGAGGGCTGGGGATGCTCCCAGTCTGCTCTTAGAGGCTCAACCTCCTGATACTGTCCTCAGATCACTTGCATTTGCACTGGGTGTGTGTGTGTGGGGAGAGGCAGGCGTATTGTCCAGCACAAATGGGGCCAGATGTCAAGAGCCACGTGAAAGGTTAGAGGGATTGTTCCGAGTGCTAGAAGAGGGTCCAGAGGCAGTGTCAGGAGGAAGAGGGAAAAGGGAGAGGAACATGTGCCTTCTAGAGCAGCCGAGTGGGATATTTATGGACTGTATGACCTGTGCATTTCTCCTTCGATGGCTGATCTTGGTGATTAGCTTGGTTGGGTTGAGGTCAGTGAAGCCAGCCTGAGTGTGTCTGTGAGGGGTGTTTCCAGAGACAATTAGGTCACAGGGCCCATGACACAATGGGCAGCTTAATCCATTGATGGATTAAAAACTTGGAAAGACTATTGGTAGGTGGTGGAACTGTGGGGATTTTTATTGCATCCTGTCCCTTAGCCTGTGTCCTGCCAACCATGGTGGGGGCTTCTAAAGACAAAAACCTCTGAAACTGTGAGCATTTTCAGTCTTTTGAGTTTGTTTCCAAGGTCGCCTGTTGGCACTGTTCCCTCCTTAGAGGCAGAGGCAGCTCTTGTGTTTGTTACAGGCTTGAATTCCTTGTTTTGGAGGACAGTGGGTACAGAAAACTGCTGAGTCGGGCCGTAAAGCTGGGCACACTGTGAGAAGCAAAGCTGTTCCAGAGCCACATTTGGCGTGTGGAGAGAGGAGTGACACAGAAGCTCCAGAACTAGACAGACCTGGGCAGACGCTGACGAGGTGGTTCTGCCTGCTGTGTGCAGTTCAGTTCCCTTGGTGACTGAGGGAAGTCCTCATTCTACATGAAATACCACAGAGAGAAACCTTATGCCGTGTGGGAAAGCCTCACTTGCTCAACACCTGAAAGGATGTAAATGTCCCCCCAAGAGTCGGCCTCAACAGCAGACAGGGTGGAGGGATCACGTGGCCACTGACTGGGTGGGGTGTCTCTCAGCACCTCAGCTCTACTCTCAACTGCAAGGGAGCCTTGATCAGAAGAGGTGTGTGAGTCTCAGCTGACGTACGTGCAAGATGAGTTCTGGGGCTAAGCTGGGGGCCGTGAAAAGCAAAATGTCCATTACTTTAAAAATATAGACTATTTTTTCCTTGAGAATTTCATACATGTATATAACTTACTTTGATCCTGTTCACCCCTAACTGCCCTATAATCACCTCCCAACCCTCACTCTCTCCCAACTTTGAGTCTTTTTTGTTTTTTAGAATCCACTGGGTCCAATTTATATCGCCCATGTGCTCCTGGGTGTATGGCCATCCACTGGGGCATGGTCAGCCTACATTCTTAAGAATCGTTCTTGCTCTTCTAGCAGCCGTCAGCTGCCGATAACTCCTTCTGTTCATGCTGGGATGCTGACTGCTTTGATCTTGTGTAGGCAACCACAGCTGCTGTGGGCTGTGAGTTCATGAGCAGGACGATTTTGTCATGTGCTGAAAACACCCCTCACCCCCAGCCCCATCTCTGGCTCGTTCAGTCTTTTAAGCCCCTCCTCCATGATGGTCTCTGAGCCTTGGGGGCAGGGGCATTATAGAAAATTCCCACTTGTGGCTGAGCGCTCCACAGATTCGAACTCTCTGCACTTGGACCAGTGCAGGGCTTCTGCCTAACCACCGTCCACTGCACAGAGGAGCATCTCTGCTGAGGTCTGAGAGTGTCACTAACCCGTAGGTAGAGAGAGAGAACTCTAAAGGGCACTTCACTACTGTGTCCAGTTCTCAGAGTAATAGGTGATGTTACTCCGCCCATTCACTGCCATCTCCATGTCTAAAATCCCAACAGGAAATGCCTTCTGACAGGTGATGTGATGCACCCTCATGATCAGCAGCAGGGAGCTTTTGATCAATGTCATACCCCTCTTTAAACCTTGCTGTCCCAGTCTCTTCGTCACAGGGGATGAAGGTGGCGCCCCTCTTCAGTCCTGTGCCTGCACCATTGCCAGCGAGGTGTTCTGAATCTGAGAGGACGTTCTGTGTTTAGCTTTCTTGTTGGATATTATTGCACTTTATATATTTGTTGCATGTGTATGGGCACCTACACGCCACAGCACGTGCCTGGAGGTCAGCGCACACTTTCAGGCGTTGCCATCATGGTGTTGGTTCCGGGGCTTAAACTACAACCTTTGGGCTTGGTAGCAAGCCCCTTCACCCACTGAGCCATCTTGCTGGCCCAGGATATGTTATAGGGAATTCTGAAATCATGCTTTATGAGGTCGGACTGACGTCCTTGAAGGACGTTCAGTTCCTGCTCTGCTTCTGTCCGTAGTCAAACACTGTGTCATTCTCATAAGCGAACATTTCAGTCCGTGCCCTGTCTGTAGCAGTCACCCCGTGGACACACCCCGTTCCCCGGGGATTTCACTCGCCTCTCTCCCTGTTCAGTCTTCTCTTCACGTTCCTGAACTGAGGCACTTTCCAAACTTGTGGCCCTTCAGGGTTGTTTTCAGCCAAGTGACCTGGGTGAACCGGTGTGAACCGGTGTCACGGCTGTAACCAATTTATTTCACTTTTATCTCCCTTTACATAAATGCCCAAGAGTGATGTATTATAGATGTCTCTGTCTACACAAGTCTGAAGAGAACTCAGTAAGAAGTAAGAATTCTAAGTTGAATTGTGATATTTCTCTGAGTGTCTGATAAAATGCCTCTGCACTTTAAAACTGACCGGTCCCTGGAGTCAAGGAAACAGCACATAGCTCAGTGTGGTTTGGCATCCGAGTCTGAGGGCCTGTGTGGAGTATGGCATGTGTGGAACAGCCTCCGTCAGTGGTGGGATCCAAATGAGGCCCAGGAGAAGATGGTGAGGGGCCCTGTGCAAGTGCTGTTACCATCTGCAAGACAGCAGTAGGCCCTTGATTCACAGCATGGCAGCTACGATGACCCCGGGTGACCGCTTTCCTCTGCCCACAGCTGTTGTGATAACCGTAGTTAGAGCCTCCTTATGGGCGTGGCTCCCTGTAACTTTGGTTTTCTTTCCCAGGGTTCCTTGCACTCACAGTGCATGTTTTCCTAATGTCCTTCAGTAGGCACTCCCCGGAAAGGGTTTTCCTGCACAAGGGTCTCCCTGCACAAGGGTCTCTTGGCAGTCGGGAGCCAAGGGATACCACAAAGTCACACTGCACAACAAACCTCACACAAGAGATTTCTTTGGGGAGAAACACAGAGTGATGGCTGCCTATGAGCAGGAACAGAGACAGCAGGGGTTGGGAAGAGGGGCGGGATTTTGTAGTCTTTGGAGTATGGGCGGTGAGCTAGTAGAAAAGTACAGCATGGCTGAAGTATTGCTTGTCCACTCACCCTGAGTCATGAGGTGGGGACAGCCAGGGGCAGGGTGATCTCCCCTGGCCCGTTACCCTACACTCCCCCTCTTCTGGAGGGCAGGAGTTGCTGGCTGCTTCTCTGCGGCATTGGCAGCCATTGCTGGTGAAGGGAACAGGATTTTGAATTGCTGTTTTGTATGGACTGGCCCTGGTGGAAAGCCTTGAGGAAAGTAGGAATGTCTGGAGTTGTGTGAGAGAACAGGGTCTTCAGTGGTAGATTGCAGTTCATAACCAGTTAAGAGAATCTTATTTTGGGGAAAACATCAAAGCTACCTCTAGTTGCTACTGCTTAATCAGGAGGCACAGTCCTCCTTCCTCTGCAGGGCTGGTGTGTAAGTCCTGAATCAACCTATCAGAGAAGGAGGGGAGAAGGGAGGAGGGACAGAGGGAGGGAGGGAGGGAGAGAGGGAGGGAGGGAGGGAGGGAGGGAGGGAAGGAGGGAAGGATCACCCTCTGTGAGTGCTTCACTGGGTAGGAGCTGTTGAGGCTGGACTGCTTAGTTA